ATTGCAGCCCTGGTCAAAAGGGCCCAGCAGAGATTATACTACCTGAGACTTCTCAGGAAACAAACAATGAATGGAAAACTGCTGGTGACCTTCTACCGCTGCACCATAGAGAGTATCTTAACTTACTGCACCTCTGTATGGTTTGCCAATTGCACAGTGGCAGATAGGAAAGCACTCCAGAGGGTTAATGTCATTGCCCAGAGGATCATCGGTTGCCCTCTCCCCTCTTTGGAAGAGCTTTACAGCTCCTGCTACCATAAGAAAGTTCAAAACATCCTCAAAGATCCATCTCATCCTGGGAACCCTTTTTTTGAACTATTACCATCTGGCAGACGGTACAGGACAATAATAAAAACGAGGACAAATAGGCTGAAAAACTGCTTCTATCCCAGGGCAGGAGCTCTGTTGAATTCTGCTGTATAGTGCAGTGTTGGTGTGGTGTCCGGGGTTTCCGGTTCAATGTGTGGAAGGTGAAGGATGCGTGTTTGTGTTTATTTTCATGGCCATGATGTGCATGGAAGATGGCGTTTGATTTCCTTGTACGAGGTGCAAGGACGATAAAGTAAACTAAACTAAAGGTCACAAAAAGGAGATCATGTGAGCCGGGGATTTTGCAACCGTCAATAAGTACATGCCAGTTGCCAAGTGTCTGTATTTTGATCACGTGACTGTGGGGACGATCAGAACTGAAGAAGCTTCTCGGAGGACAAGCGAAACCGTCTTCAAGGGAAAAAAAACCAAGAAAGTCCAGTTGCCTCTTGAAAAAGCAGCTTTGGGACAACCATGACCTGGAGGACTGAGAATGTTTAGCTTCTCGTGGAGGAGGAGGAGGAGGAGAAGGAGAAGAAGGAGGAGGAGGAGGAGAAGGAGGAGGAGGAGGAGGAGGAGGAGAGGAAGGAGGAGAAGGAGGAGGAGGAGAAGAAGAAGGAAGAAGAAGAGGAAGAAGGAGGAGGAGGAGGAAGAGGAGGAGAAGAAGGAAGAAGAGGAAGAGGAAGAAGAAGAGGACAACTGTAGGGTCCTTGGTGCTCTCTGAGCTTGCTTGTTTTCTAGCACATGTTTCATGACCTATCTAGGTAACCTCATCAGTGCTAGAAGGGAGTGGGGTTTGCATGGAGGAGGAGGAGGAGGAAGAAGAAGAAGACAACTGTGGGGTCCTTGATGCTCTCTGAGCTTCCTTTTCTTGCACACGTTTCATGACCCAACCAGGTAACCTCATCAGTGCTAGAAGGGAGTGAGGTTTGCGGAGAAGAGGAGGAAGAGGGAGGATAAGGAGGACTGATGAGGTTACCTAGTTGGGTCATGAAACGTCTGCAAAAAAACCGAGCAAGCTCAGAGAACACCAAGGACCCCCTCAATCTGAATAGAGCTTGGAGGTCTTGTAGTCCAACCCCCTTAGACCATTTCAGACCAGTGGCTGCCCAGTCTCTTCTCAAAAACCTCCAGTGATGGATCACAACTCACAACTTCTGAAGGCAAGCTGTTCTACACACACCCAGAAAGAAGCATCCTTCTTCACCCTCCCATCAATTTCTTTTTCCCCCAAAGGAAAGACTGAACAACCATTTTCTTGCCCTCCCAAGGGTGCATTTCCCCCCCCCCCAAAAGGCCACTGGACTTTCTTGGTTTTTTTTCTTCCTTGAAGACGTTTCGCTTCTCCTTCGAGAAGCTTCTTCGGTTCTGGCTGGATGGTGGGGCATGGAAGAGCTGAAGAAGCTTCTCGGAGGAGAAGCGAAATGTCTTCAATGAAAAAACAACAACAAGAAAGTCCAGTGGCCTCTTGGAGAAAAAAAAAAAGCACCTTTGAGGTAACCTTGACCTGGATGGCTGAGAATCCCCAAAGACGTTTCCTTGGGATGCTTTAAGGACTCCTGACTTGAGCAGTGTTGTGATTTGCTGGCAGCAGGTGAGGACGGCTGAGGTCTCGGAAAGCGAGGACTCAGGTGAGGGGCCTGCGTGGGATGCAGGGATGGGGCCAGGACCATCAGGGAGTGGAGTGCTGCCTTTGGAGATGGTGGAAGCTGGCAGCAGCAATGAAGAGGCCACCGAGGAGCCTGTGCCCAGTGCGCACAGGGCTGCTTGAAGGAAAGAGCAGCTGCAGCAGCATGGGCGACTCAGGAGTAAGGCTGGAAGGTAATGCCCCCCCCCCCCCTTAAGGGATAAAAGCCAGCTGAGAAACTGCAGCTCTTTGCAGAAGGCAAAGAAGTTTGATACTTGAGCCTGGTGGACGTTAGACTATCTGAGTTAGACACACATGTATACCACCAGAGGGATTGACCATTCAAAAAATAATGCGCTGTGCCAAGTTTACAAGAGAAAGAGGAATCTGACCATGACAAGGTGTGGGGAAAATGGTATGACTGGATTGAGCAAAGACAGATTGGTGGATAGATAAATGGGTTGTAAATAAATTGGGATAAAGCACTAGATAAGTTAATGATTTATATATCCGCAAACTCTCTATATTTGTAAACAATGCACAAAATACTAGTATAAGATGCATGTCACAAACTGTTGATCTTATAAAATTTATTTTCTGGTTTGTCTTTTTTAAATTATAAAAGATTAATAAAGTTTGAAAAATAAGATCTGAGTTGGTGTTTGGAGACTCTTTGATTTATTGCTTAGTAACTTTATCTGGTGTTCTTGGCAGCCTTGCAAAAACTTGGCCAGGCTCTTCCTTATCGGAGCTAATTAGTTGGAAGCAGCCTTTTACCTGTGAAGAAAGAGGATTCGTAAATGAAACGTTAAAAGGTTGGGCTGGTACCTTTGTCTTGTGTTTACTCTCTGGGAACCAGGTTTGGGTCAGAACAGGTAGGGGGGTTGGACTAGATGACCTGCAGGCTCCCTTCCAACCCAGTGGTTCTATGCTTCTATGCCTTTGCTGGGTTCACACGACTGGTGGGGGATTCAGAAGGCTTCCTGTGGGTTGGGTTTCTTGGGAAGCCCTTTTCTTTGCAATGCCTTGAACCCGTTTTTATTTTGGGCGGGTGGGTGGGCAATGCAATGGCAGCTCTGGGCTTGGCTGGATGGGATGGGGTACCCACCACGTTGAGGCAAAGATTGGTCCCATGTCTAGGCTCCAAACTTGCTAAAACGGGGTTGGATTTCTTTGCCGCTCCCCCTTTCCTAGGTTTACACAACACACAACTCTCTAGCTTGGAAGTTTTGGTTGCCATGATGTAAAAAAAAGATGCCGAGACTCTAGAAAGAGCGCAGCGAAGAGGCTAAAACGTATGAAGAACGGTTGCAGGAATTGGGCATGTCTAGTCTGATGAAAAGAAGGAGTAGGGGGGACATGATAACAGTGGCCCAATATTTGTGGGGCTGCCTATTCTCTAAAACAGTGGTTAGTGTTTTTTTTAAAAACAACACTAGTTCACATCCGTATTTATTACCGTTCAAAAAAAAAAAAAATTGAGATGCAGGGATGGAGATTTAAGAGAGGAGGATAAAAACTAAATTGCAAAATGTTGAGTCACAAAAAGAAAGTAAGGTAGGAAATTCCTCTCCACTTTTTAAAATCATACTGCTTTTGCATGCTTAAGGGTGCTTTGTAAGATTGCGGCATGGCAGAGGTTAAAACTCCAGCATCTCCCACTAGCCTTGTGGGAGTTGTAGTTCAGAACGAAAGGGCTGCTGGGAAATGTGGTTTCTCCCCCTACTTCCTTGCTTGGTCTTCTGCATTTTTCTTCTTTGAGCCAGCATTGGCTACCGTTGGATGTCTGCTTTTCTTCAAGGTGAGAGATGGGATTTTTCTTTTTTCTTTGCAAAAAATTAAAAGTTGCAAAAATTAAAGGTGGGATTTTTTTTATTTTTTTTTGCAAAAATTAAAGGGCCTGTTTGTCTGGATTTGCATTTTGCTTGCAAGCAGGCTAGGAGAAAAGGAGCATCCGTTTGCTGCGGCTGTTTTGGATTCGAACAGTGGATCTAGCAAGGCAGGAGCAAAAGTCATAGGTTTCCCAGGAATAAATTTAGGAAGGAACAGCCTCGCTTTGCAATAAACTGTAAAGGGGGAATCTGAAGGTTTCTCTGCTCTGAAAACGCAGCTCTTGCGTTTTGCAGCTTTCTTCAGTTTGTTTGGTTTGAGCCTTGCTCACTTAGAAGGGTTGTCAGAAGGAACCTCTCCGAAAGACCTTGGGGTTGAACGCAAGCTATTTTATGCCATTTGCAAATAACCCTGGGAAGGAAAGAGGCCCTGAAAAGAAAAGAAACTCTGCTATTTTTTTTGTTGTTGTTGTTTAATTTTTATGTCACAAAATCATCCCATGTAACTCTTACGGGGTGCACTGATGATATTCGCTAGTTTGGTAATGAAACGTCTGCAAGAAAACTACCAAGCTCAAGAGAGCACCAAGGACCCTGCATGTAACTTCTGGCTAGAAATGTTTACTTACAATTTCAAAGTTACATAAAAGAGAAGGATTGTATTGATTGGTTATTTTTTAGTACAAAACTTATTGTAACTGTGTTTCAGATGTTCAGGTAGTACAAATTTCCCTAGCCTGGTTCCACTGGCTTCAAATTTCATAATAATTATTCTAATTTACTATGGCAAGAATTCACTGAAGGCACCAGGCTAGAATGGAAGAGGCCATGAGTTTTAGTCCTGCCTTAGACATCAAAGTTGACTGTGTGACTTTGGGCCTGTTAATGATTCGTGGCCCTTCCCACCTCATGGCTGTTCTTTGTCACCTTGGGTTGTTTGTAAAAATAATGACATGGAATCTGGATGGATGGATGGATAGAGGGAGGGAGGGGCAGAGAGAGAGAGATGATAGATGATAGATAGATAGATAGATAGATAGATAGATAGATAGATAGATAGATAGATAGATAGATGATAGATTAGAGAGAGACATACATAGATGATAGGTGATGGATGGATAGATAGGTGATAGAGAAGATAGATGGGAGGACAGATAAATAGATGATAGAGAAGATAGATGGATGGATAGAAGATAGATTAGAGAGACGTACATAGATAATAGATGATGGATGGATAGATGATAGAGAAGATAAATGGGAGGATAGATAAATAGATGATAGAGAAGATAGATGGATAGAAAATAGATGAGAGAGAGAGACGTACATAGATGATAGATGGATAGAAAAGATGGGAGGATAGATAAATAGATGATAGAGAAGATGGATAGATAGAAGATACATGAGAGAGAGACATACATAGATGATAGATGATGGATGGATGGATAGATGATAGAGAAAATAGATTGGAGGATAAATAGATGAGAGAGAAGATGGATAGATAGAAGAGAGAGAGACGTACATAGATGATGGATAGATGATAGAGAAGATAGATTGGAAGATAAATAAATAGATGAGAAAGAAGATGGATAGATAGATAGAAGATGGATGGATGGATGGATGGATAGATAGAGATAGATAGAAGATAGCTGGCTGGATGGATATATAGATGATAGATTAGCGACATAGATAGAAGATGGATGGATGGATAGAATAAATGATAGACAGACAGACAGATACCATCAAAAGAAATGGATGAAAAATGGTATGGTTTTATTTGTGTATTCCAGAAGGTTCCACCCGAGATGAAACCTCACCAAGCGAGCCCCATGGTTAGATTACTCTTTCGCAAATGCTTCAAGTATCACCGGAGTTGCCCTCTTCCATCTCTTGCTAAAAAAAGCCCCCTTTGGACGGAGCTGAACTCCCTTCGCCACAGCTGTAGGAGCAGGACCGTTACATCTGCGAGGACCTTCCATGCCAGCCCCAGGGCTTTGGGAAAGCTCTGGGACAGCGTCCCCCTGCAGGCATATTTACAGACTTTGGAGCAAGAATATGAAAGGATCGATTCGCTGCTCAGCACCTGCTCCGTGAACGAATTTAAGGAAAAGGACCTCAGCCTACGACGGGCTAAATTATTCCCCTTGGTGCAGGCGTTTCAACAAATACAAGAGGCCAAAAAACAAATCCAGGAACTGGAGAAAATGTGTACAGGTATGTTATTTGTCAGGATTCCGGCAGTTGCCCTGTGATAATCCAGGAGGGAATACAAAAGCAACAAAGTCACAAAAAGAGGTGAAGTCCCTTTAATTCCTTCAACTTGGCTTCAAAGGTCCAAATATCATTGACTGGAGAGAAAAAAAACTCCCCCACAAACAGTTGCGAAAAGGAAGAAATGCCATTCAAACTCAAAATACATATAAATTATAAATAGATAAAAACAACACAAACCACACTGAAGCAATTAATGAGACAAGGCAGGATAAGGGCTTGAAGACGTCCACAGATATCGAAATACCCACACTGGGAAGGACGCCAGAACTCAGATAAGAACTGTAAGACTAGAATTATTTCATGCTTTGCTTCCAGCACTGGCCCATGAGCAGTTTGTCCTTTTAAACAGTCTTCACAGCTGTAGCCCAGGAAGGGGATCAGGGCTCTTTCCTCCCCAATAGACCATGCCATTCACGTTTCTCCCTTATCTGCTCCTCCCTGTGTGCCCTCGGATGAAGAGAGGATGGGCCTGGGTCTTCTTCTGAATGCCCAGCCGGCCTGTGCCCTTCCCCAGCTTCCTCCACAACCTCCGGAGCCACACTTCCACTCCCTGTCGGCTGTTCCTCCTTGGCTGTTCCTCCTCTCCCTCGGAGTCAGACTCCAACAGAGGCATGACATGCCCTAATTAAATCATGAGCTTCGAACCAAGCTTCAAAAACTTCAAATGATTTATTAGGAGCAAACATGTCGTCATGACCTGAATGAAGCTGATTCTGAGACAAGTAATTCACTATCACCTATGACCCTGTTTCCTCCCCATCCCTCTGGGTGTGTCATAATTCATATTCTCCAACGAAAGCTGAGCATCATCAATCCTGTTCTCCAATTAGGGATTCCGGTAGCTTAGTTACAATCTTTGCAAGATAAGAATGGAATGCACTTTTGGTTTTAAACTGCCGCACTGCTCCTTCCAATTTCTCTCACCTCTCCCCATTCATGGCAACTCTAAAACAGGCATAGAAATGTTTTATGAGTTGACATTATACAGGTAATCCTCAATTTAACGACCTCCATTGAGCCAAAAATTCTGTTGTTAAGCGAGACATTTGTTAAGTGTGTTTTGCAACCATTTTACCGTTCTCGCTCAAGTTGTTAAGTGAATCACAGTGGAGTGGAGACGTTAGTAACACAGTGGTTCAATGAATCTGGCTTCCCCATGGAATTTCCTTGTCAGGTTGTAACATTGCAACTGTCGTAAATATGAGTCAGGTCTCAAGCGTCTGAATTTTGATCATGGGGATGCTGCAGCAGTCACAAGTGTGAGAAACGGTCCTGAGTCACTTTTTTCGGTGCAGTTGTAACTTTGGACGGTCACTAAATGAACTGTCAAGGTTCCAACTGACGATCTCCTAACGCTAAACTTTATCGAGTACGTCATTTTGGCACAGCACGAAAGCAAAACTAGCTCTGGCTAATTCCCGCGCTATTCAGTATAATTAAAGCATGCTCCCTCTTATTCCTTGTCCAATGAAATGTCACAATATTGTTCTGAGAAAATGTCTTGAAAGTCTGGCAACCACCTGATGAAGTGACCTTGGTTCTTACAGCCTGACTCCTTGAGGTTTAAAATCCACGCTCCAATTCCCCCTTTCTTCCTCCCACCATAGTTCATTGGCAAGCTGAGAAGCAGTCAAAGTGAAAGCAGCATGAGTACGTTTCGAAGCTCGATGTGAACCGTTATAAGTTGAGGACTGCCTGTATAGAGCTCCCTCCCATTTTTTATTGGCCCTCACTTTGGGGAAACGCCATGATTTCTTTGCTTCCGTTACATCTGAGGGAACCATCGCCAATATCTGAATTTCAGATGTCCGGTATAATTTACTCTTCTCTTTTCAGTTTTTTTTTTTCATTTTGCCGTTTTATTACAGAGCTAACTCAATCAGAAGAGAAACCTCTGCTAGAACTTGCTACAGAGGAGAAGGAAGGTATGAACCAGAGGATTAGAGCGCTGTATCTAGAGGTGAGCAGAATCCAGCTGCATCAAGCTGTTGTGGTCTGTGTTTATCAAGATCTTGTCTATGGAGATCCTCAGTCCTCCAAGTCATGGTTGTCCCAAAGGTGCCTTTTTCAAGAAGCAACTGGTCTTTCTTTGGTTTTTCCTTGAAGATGTTTTGCTTCTCATCTAAGAATCTTCTTCTTCTTCTTCTTCTTCTTCTTCTTCTTCTTCTTCTTCTTCTTCTTCTTCTTCTTCTTCTTCTTCCTCTTCTTCTTC